CATTTACCTAAATTATAGAATAAAATTAAGGTGGGAAGAAAATACATTTCAATGTAAGAATTAATTGTCTGGCTTTCTCCATTTTTTTGAAGAAGATAGAAAATATGAGGAAAGGAACGCTGATGAAAACTATGGTGCAAAAGCAGATTCGAGGCCATTTACTTTTACTGACAAAAAGTATGTAAAGAAAAAAAATACAAAAACAACCTGATGGGGGATGTAGAAATGGCTCAAAGATCCCACAGGATAAACATTCAATTTCTAGCACCCAATGGGGCAGTTCACAACTATCTGAAACTACATTCCTAGGAAACCCAAAGGCCTCTTCTGGTTTATGGGCACAAGGCATATGTGTGGTATAGTGACATGCATCAGAGACAAAAAACAACATGCAAATGAAACAATAAATTATTTTTAAATATAATTGAGCAGAAGAGCATGAGTAACTATAAATTTACTACCAGAATACAAAATTAAGTCTCTCATTGATTGCAAAATGTAAGTGGCAAATGGTAAAAGTAACACCTACATTGCAGAGTCATAGAAATGTTCTCTCCTTGGGTTACTGCCTGCCTGGCTATTGCATTCCATGGGTGGATTTACATGTTATAGTGCTGGCATGGTGGCGTAAGGTACCATCAAGCCATTTAAAATACATTTTGTGGAATTCAGAGTACAGCTTAATGTAAGGGCTTCGGTTTGATCCTGAGCATGGAAACCAAATAATAAAGATAATGGTGATGATGATGGTTGTTGTGATGATGATGATGATAATAATAATAATAATAATACATAAGATTTTAAGATAAATGCATTATAAATCATAGTTTTGTTTGTTTTTGTTTTGTAGTCTAGTATCTTCTGAATGATCCATCTCAAGGAAACATGTTGTTTACATATCTTGAGCTGACTTTCCAGAATAACCACACCTATTTGCATTCTGCATGATGGAGGTAATGGGTAAATACAAAGTAGCGTCTTCTCACTTCACTCAGTAGTGTTCAATGTTACTCCTCACCAAGAAGGAGCAAGCCTGCTATTTCTTTTTATTATTATTATTATTTTGATTTTAAATAGCTTGTTTCACATGTCAATTCCAGTTCCCTCTCCCTCCCCTCCTCCTGCATCCCCACATTCCCCCCAGTCTCCCACCCTATCTCCATTTCCTTCCACATAGGGGATATCCAGAGTCTGTCATTTCACTCAGGGCAGGGTCCAGGCACTCCACTAAGAGTCCAGGCTGAGAGAGCATCCCTCTTTGTGTTATGGATACACGATATCTGTTTGTATGCCAGGGATAAACACTGATCCACTGCCCAGGGCCCCATAGGTTGCCCAGGCCTCCTCACTGACTCTCACATTCAGGGGGTCTGGAAGCCTGCTATTTCTATATACTATTGTGAGGCAACTTACTTCCTCCAGCTCTTTCAAAACAAGAGCAATTATAAAAAATTGGACAATGTAAAATTGTCTGATTGTGATGTCAACAGTTGTGCACAATTAAATTTGATTTGGAAGGCAGTTACATAGAATTCTGTTAACTATTCTAAAGTTTAATTTTCATCATATAGGTGTGGATATAGGTGTGGTTTGTTCACCTTGTATTGAACAAACAAAAAACACAAAAGTCATTCACTTAATGTTTCTTCAGAAACAAATACTACCAACTGTTCCACAAGTTGATGAATTTGTAATATCATCATTCCCATTTACACAAAAGGAAAAGGAAAGAGATAGCTTCAAGTTCAAGTTATTGCTGTGGTTAGTAGGCTAGCTATTAGTAGGGGCAGCTTTCTAAAATGAAGCAGACTTCTATTAAGTCTGACTTTTTAATTACCTCCAACTCTATCATTATGCAGGAAGAAACTACATTGTACATTATAGTTGGAAATAAGAGGATACAATGTGACCATATGAGTGATATTTAGGTATTTTCATTTGGGTTGTGACAATGAATAACGATGATTAGTTCTGATTTTACTGCTAACATTGAAAGGAACATCTACGAATGCTTTTCAAATGTGGAAAATTGATTTTTAACTTCCAACTGTCAGAATGTTGGATGCAATGAGGACTGGTGTGCTTTGTTGACTTTTCATGGTTGTGTCATTTTATTACAAGATTATTTAAAAGATTTTCTTTCATTTGCCTTTATTACCCAGAACTGGCTCAGATTTTTGAATTTTGCCTGTAACATAAAATTCTTCAATTCATGTAAGTTGTTCACTCAGCTCTACCTTGAGGCATAACATGATTCTATAGAAAATTTCAAATCAAATATATAAGCCTCATTTTTCCCTGTAAAATATATATGAGTGTGAAGACAAAGATTTTTTTGAGGGAGGAAAATATTTTTCATTCTGTATGTAAAGAACATTTTAAGCTATTTGGGCAAAGCTACCTCACATGGTTCAGGAGGAGGCATTTTTGATTTAAAACTACTGGTACATATCAGGGCCCTGGATTTTACTTAGCAATGGATAGGCTAAAAGAATTGGTAGATGATAGACTATGTTCAAGATTTCCAGGGTGTCCAGAGTATAAGAATGAAACAACTCTATGAAGCCAGTGAGGAGGCCTAGGTAATCTATTGAGCCTTGGGCAGTAGATCAGTATTCATCCCGAGTATACACATGGACTTTGGACTCCCATCCAACAATGTGAGATGCACTCTCACCGTGAACTCTTGGGGGAGGGTCTGGGCCCTGCCCTGGATGAAATGACAGACTGTGGATGCCCCCATGGAGGACCTCACCCTCCCTGGGGAAATGAGGGGATATTGGGGGAGTTGGGGGGAGGGCACAGGAGGAGGGGAGGGAAACTGAGAGGGACCTGGAAATGACTTTTGAAGCAATCTTGTTTCTAATCTAAATTTAAACTTAAAAATAAATAATAAAAAAGAAAAAATTAACATGACAATGGCTAGAAACTCAACTCAGCGTGTAAAAGCATTTGCAGCCAAGCCTGACAAACTGAGTTTGATCCAGGGATCCAAATATCAAAAACAGAGATCTGATTTTTGGGAGAATCTTGGTCATGTCTCAAGTCCTTAAAGTTTCTGGAAGACATTTTGATGCAGCAATATTAACTTCCCTGGAATATTGTACCATAGTACCATACAGCACACAAACTCTCAGCAAATATTCAATGAATGGTAAAAATGATAAAGCGATACTAGCTGACCCTGACAATTCAAGGAGTTTAACAGAATCCAAGAATGGGTTATGTATCATTAAGGAAAGATTACCCCAGTTTGGAGGTGTATAAATTACTGAAAGTATAAGAACTACCTTTCTCTGGTAAATATCAATATGTCCATCTATATATAGAAATTAGTATTAGCAACCACTGAAAGCCTGAAATAGCTCTGACATCAAAGCTCTATAAGATTGAATATTATCTTATTTCAAAGGTCAGTCTTATGGCTAGTTAATTTCCTGGAGATTCTATGTAATCCTGCTGGAGTTTGAGTTCTGATTCCACCATCTACAGCATTTGGAGTTATGAATCAAACACTGAGTTCTTTTGAAGTTCAGTTCTAAAACCTGAAAAATGGCTGAGAATGAACCTTATATGGATATCTTAGAGACACAAATGGAAAGACAGAGAGGGAGGGAGGGAGGGAGGGAGGGAGGAAGGAAGGAAGAGAGAGCAAGAGCACACTTATCTTCATGTGTTCGTCACACTTATCAGGTATGTTTATTCAATTTCATTGTTCATTTTCTGGTTCTGAATAGAACTTTAATAGCTTGCATGTATAATTAGCAAATGCAGTTTCAATTTCTTGCTAGGAATTTGAAACTTTAATACCAACTGAGCCCCTAATTGTCAATAAGCTATCACTGCAACAATTTATGACACTATATGAAAAATGTATCTTCTCACTTCTTCACCAGTAGATATGCCTCTTTTATTATTGTGGGCATACTGTTACGATAGGTAAACACTGCAGAATACATTAAAATGTCTTAGAAAAATTGTTTAGGAAGCGATCTTTGAGTTCCTAAGCAGCAAGGTTATTCTTCTCTGAAACTAACAGAGTAAAATGTAGCGGTCCCATAAAAAGTAGGTTACATGTAAATACATCAGGTACACATTTTTTCCAGGGTCTAGAAAGTACAACTGGCTTTTCTAAGATTTCATTATATTCTTCTAAAATCTCTGAAATCACCCTAGAGCCCAGCCAGGGAATGAAGAACTTAATACATTCTATTAAATGGATGGTTCTTATTGGCTGACAGCCTAGTTACAGTAGACTCTGCAACTCATCAAAAATAAGCAATATTAGCAATTACAGTATTGTATGTAAAGAGTTCTCAATGTAATATGAATTGCCTGTTAACCCTGGTTTTCACAGTTCACTACCCAGTTGAAGTCTTACAATTAGAAATGCTGGTTAAATGAAAATTCATCATTTTATTTCCCAATTCATTCACCCCATGTCAAATACATCAGTGGTGAAATGGTGGAGTTCTAGAAAGTTCTAAAGAAAGGGGTTCTAGAAAATCCTTTAAGGCTACTCTAGAATCAAATCAGAGTTATTTGAGTAGATGCACTACCTTTAGTAGCCTTTGAAAAGTAGAGTTGAACTGTAATACTATAATAAAAGGGACAAGAATTCTCTAAGTTTACATTCAAAATCAAGTGCATATTGTGAAAGAGACAGACTTCTGTGACTGTGTAAATATTTGATACACGTGTCTGTATTTCTCAAACACAGAATGCTGTGCTTTCTGTGATACTGTATATATAAGATAATTTTCTGAAAATATTTCAGTGGGAGAAAGGTAGGAATATTAGACTACCACATTATTCTTTTACACAAAAGACCAGTGTCTTTAAAAATAGATGTTGCTTTTTGAGTAGGAGGGTATAAATACTTTACAAACTACTTCATTTCTGCCATCTTTGCTGTATGAGAAGAATTTCATGTTTTCATTTACCTTACAGCAGCAATACTGGTTATAGTCGGTTGAACTTACTCAGATAAACACAATGAGTTTTCTTTTAAAATAAGCCTTTACTGAATATATCAACAAGGTACTGTATAGTGTAGAGTGAAGTTTGAAGTTAACAAAGTGTGCAACATGGTAGGTCTCAGAGGGTGCATGACACAGAATCTTCCAGCCCCTTGCAGTCCCTTGTCAGAGAAACACACTAAACACAAACCAGAATCAAATGAACATGTTTCAAACAGTAACAGATCATCAAAGTTAACGTTCAGTAAATATTATCATATGAGGGCATACATTGGTGATGCCTCATGTTGCCATAACTGGTTACAAATCTCACATCCCACAGACACCTTTACAAACACCCCATGTATACGTATGCATGGATTTGCATGTTTTATATTAATTTAAAAATGCCTGTTGCAATGGCCTTGGTTTGTGCTCTTCTGGTGGATGTGTACCTAGAAAACCAAACACTATAACAAAACCTGGTTTGCTAAAACAGTATCATACTGTGTACAAAATGTTTTCCCCACAATCAGTGAAAAGCATCCTCATTGCCAGCAATTATTCCAATCCCATTGATGAAACTGGAGGATATAGATACAGTTTTCTATCATTACTTATTTTAACTTTAAAAAAGAAAAGAAGCTAAGTTTGACAAGATTCAGAATTGAGAGTTGTTGTTTTGTGTGTATATCATTTTCTTGTTGGGCACTCTTCTGTGTTGCTTTCCCATTCAGTGGGAAGAACAAGTTATGAACATATGTGTTATCCCTAGTTTCTAAAGCAACAACTAAAGTTCCCTTTAGATAGGTCAGAGATAAATGCTATAAACAAAGACATCAATGAAAATTAACCACTTCACTGTCAAAAGCCACAGGGGATGCTAGAGCTGAAGTTTGTTGATCCAGTGTGGCACTTGCCTCTGAAGAAAACAATGGTGCCTTGTGTTTGGAATGGAAGCTCCCCTAACATGAAGAGCTATGTTTCCTCCAGGGGAGAAGGAAGCTCTGGCTATGTGGCATGACTAAGACCATTGTGACCTCCTTTATTAAGAAACAGAGGTGCAATATTAGCGATGCCATTATTATTTTTCCCTAAAAGATCACATTATAGTTTTTGTTTTTAACCCTTGAGAGAAAATATCTAATATTGTTTCAACAACTATCTGAAAAATTAGGAAAAGCATTATTTCTCACAAGGAAAGATTTTTCTACTTATATCATAAACATGGAAACTCCCTTCTTATGTCCGCTGTGATTGTCCCAAGTGTTATATTGCCAAGTCAAGGCATGTGAGAGTGTTTACATGAAACCCAAGGTCTCCCTAGGGTAATTTTTATCTCTACAAGCAAGGAGGTAGGTATAGGTGACCACTCTGTTTAGCTACTGATAACATTTGTGTGACCAGGCTCTCCTTTTCCTTTCACAATGTTCTCTGTATAGGTACAGTTATTGTACTGACAGGCTGTGACACTGAGATCAACTTACCTTTGACTCTTAACTAATCACCTCAAAATAAATATTGATGAGGCTGAGACAGGGGCAAACACAGGGGAAATATAACTGCAGGGCAGTTTCCTGATGAAAGCTGTCAGTCAAAATGACATTCAGTAAGGATTGCTGCTCATGTGTTTTTTGTTGTTGTTGTTGTTGTTTTAAGTTTCACAAGCTAGTACAGATTATATGATTTGATTTTGACTACGATGTAGGAGTCCTTCAAGCATACTTTTACAGATTGTAGTCTGATTTTCATGGTAGATGTCTTTGCTGTGTTGCTCATAAGATCAAAATAAAGATTCCCTTTTTCCAGAAACACCTTCTACCAGGGAAATATTGAAAGCATCTTAACCATATTACATGACTCGGCCTCTAAATTACCACTTTAACTCTCAGTAGTGTTGTGGATGCCATACATTTTTGGGAACCTCTCTGCTCTTTCTCCAGGGACAAAGAAAAGACATTTCCATGGCCAAAAATTCCACTGGGAGTGAAACATACAATACAAACAGATAAAAATGATTATCTTGTTTATAACAAAATAAAAATCCTCAAAAAAATCAAAGTACCATTATATTTTTCAGCACACAGTTTTACTTATAGTGAAATGTAAATGGACAATGAAAAGGAAACATTCAGCTAATACACAGAGCTCCATGTCACTGTCCTGATTTTAGATGATGTAACTTGCTACACAGATCACCATTCCAGATGGCCTTATTCCTTCCACTGTGTGAACCTACTTTTACAGAAACCAACAGCCCAGACCCTCTAGCTAATAGACTAAAGAGGAAACCCGAGTCACTTTAGAATTAAATTAATTCATAACTATGTTCAGCTCTACTGACTGCACAGTTTCAATGCTTGTGTCTACAACATTATCACTGCAGTTATATTTTCTGCTTATTCTGAGGGATGAGGGCGATTAAAACATATAAGTCGGGGTATATTATTAAAGAAAATAAAGCTCTTGCTATAAAGAAAAGCTTGCATAGCATTTTATACCTAAACTTTTACAAGAAGACACATCACAGTTTTATTTTGCTTAGAGAGAAAGACAAAGCAAGAAAGTATGACATTTACTTCATGAGTCCCTAAAGTGATGGATGACTGTAAAGGAACACAGAATGAAATGCCTAAATGTGGCTTTGAAAAAAATTCCCCAAGGGTAAATTTCTTTACACAATGTATGTGGTCTATAGCCCTTCTACACCTAAGGGATGACAAAAATTAGGGTAAATTATGCGTGTTTTAAAATAGACTTGCTTCAAAAAATATCTAGTATCAATAATGGATATCCCACTTTCGTCTACTCTCTGGTATTGGCTGTTCTCTGCCATGGATAGAGAAACCTTGCCTTCTCTGACTTATTCATTTTCAATGGTAGTCTTTTAGCATAAGATTATCACCCTATAATTAGCAAAATAGAGGAACATCCACAATCTAAAAATGAACAAATAGAATTTTGAATGTGGGAAAGAATCAAAGTTAATTCAAAATGGAAACATAGTATTGCTTTTTAACAATGTGCATTGTTTGGCCAGTTTTGGTGTCTTCACAGAATCATTGGCAATGAATGGTAATATGGATTTATTATACAGAAATGCACAGGGATATTTTGTGCAACCAGTATTTTTGTTCATAATTTTCCTTGAAATACCAAGCAGAGAGGGAAATACAGGTGACATATACAACATAATCACAAAAAATATATGAAAGATGATTGGAAGACAAGAATTTGAGAGGGGGTATAGGTATTAATTCAAGCTATTTCAACATGATACAAAGTCAGCTGACACAGTGTAAGAGAATCACTTATTTGTTTTTCTAAGTGGTATTGGTAATTTTTAAATAAACACATTATTGTAAAATATTCCAAACACTGTTCTTTGTTGGTCTAAACACCATGTTGATATAGCCTCAGTGAATCTACCCAAATAGTTTTCATTATCAAAAATAATTCCATTCAATATAATTCTTCCCATTATTTTTATTAGCCTCTTCTAAAAAATTATTCTAGAATATAACTCTGTTGGATAGGATTCAACCTGACATGTGATTTGAATAGTGACAGTTTTGAGGGAAATTTTCTTGCTAAGATTGATCATATTGGTCCCTGAAGATGACTAGAATCAGACTCAGGTTTCCAACTCTGTTATCACACAAGGCCAGGGAAGCATGAAGAGTGATGTTGAAGTTCACAGTCAGAAAGCCAACCCTGGGGTTTTAAGGACATTTCAGATCTCTCAGTTTCTTTCATTTGGTCAAGTAGGCCTAACTTATCTCATGGGAACTAGCTTCCTTGTGATGTTCTATTTCTTGCACTGGGTCAAATTGGAATAACTACCTCTATTATTATATTATGGATTTTTCAAACAGTGTTTCTTCCAGGTCAGGAGGTATAGAAAACATAGAAATAATTAGGCCATTCTCTCTTTACTCAAACAATCCGTCTTACCCTGATGAGCCCATCTGAATCTATCCTTTCATATGACTATCAGCTCTAGAGAAGGGATTTATTCTGACAGCTTCAACAGCAAAGTGGTTAATATGCATCTTAAGTATGAATCACTCATTCTTCTGCCTTGGCATTGGGTTCTCATTGTACAACCCAGTACAGTACTTCAGCAACATTTTTTTAATTTTAAAAAGCAAAGAGTTACAAAACTGTTTGTAATTAACTTGAAATAGAAAAGATAGCACTTTTTTTTAAATCCCATTATATAGTACACCGTATAAATTACAGAGTATGCAAATGCACAAATGCATCTGGGTAACATTTATCAAATGTAATTTGCGTGTCTCTATGTGCACACACATGTGTGTTCTTGAGAGCTTGGTTGTCCACCTGTCTAACGTGGGACCTCTGGCTGTTACGTGTGGCAGTGCTCCAGATCTGGCACACTGCTGTTGCAGTATCGCATGTTGTTGGGGATGTGGCAGTCTGTGTAATTAATGCCCCCATTTGGGGTGTAAATGGGCTGCAGTCTGAAATCTCCTTTAAGAAGCTGATCGTTATTTAAGGAGACGATCTGAAAACTGGTTTCCGTCATCTCCAGGATGGAGTTGTCTTTTTTGGTGCCTGCCTCGCAATAGTCATCTTTCCGTCGACCCCTGTTGTATTTCCATTTCTGGGAGGTGTATCGTCCCTTTTTGTGCATGTGCCAGCAAAAAACGCTGAGCAAAACCACGAGCACAAAAATCACCGCACCCCCAATTAACCCTGCGAGCAGGAAAGGGGAGCCTATGCTGTGGGAAGTTGTTTGCTCATGGCTGGAAGCAGTGTTGCTGCCATTGTTCAAATAAGAGGCATGGGTAGTGGCCTCAGAACAGATGGTATCTTCCACAGTGCGGTAGTTGAATGCATCCAGTGGCACTAAACAAATCCGATAGGTGGATCTGGGCTCTAAATTAACCAAACTCAGGTGCTGCTTCTCACCACTGACAATTCGTTCTTGAACAATGCCCCCTACGAGACTGTGGCCCATTTTCACCCATGTCAGTTTGTATGCCATCACAGTAAAGAGAGACAGCCAGCCGACTTGAATCGAAGTATCATTAACAAAATGGATGGAAAGTTGGATCCTCTCAGAAATAGGCGGGGTCACTCTTTCTCTGCCATCCCAGTCAGGGATGGTGGGAAGTTTTGATGGGGTAGGAGCTGGAGGCACAGAGCCTCTGCTGGGGCTTGGAACAGAAAGAGTAGGAGACTGAGTTGTTGGAGAAAGTGTACTTGGAGCTGGCGTGAAGACAGGTAGGCCAGGAGTTGTGGTGGGACAAGATAAAAGATTCATATTCAGCTCCCTGACAGCCATGCCCCTGACTTGCTCAGGACCTTGGCACATGAAACCCCGCACATTGAGAGAAGACGGGATATATTTGAGCCATTCTGTAACCCACTTAATACTGCAGTCACAAAACCAAGGATTATTCCGAGCAGTGAGCTGTTTCAGGTTGGAGAGATGATCGAAGACCCCTTGAGTTAACATTCGTAGCTGATTGTTGGAGATATCTAGCCGTTCCAGCTTACGGAGGTTGGAAAAGGCTGTCAGTGGGATGTGGTTTATCTGGTTATCTTGCAAGTAGAGTCTGACCAGATGCGTACCTGGGAGGTCAGGAGGTGGGTGGGAGAGCGAGTTCCGGACTATGGAAAATTCCTTGAGCTTGGTGAGATGGCTGAAGGTGCCCTCAGCAATGCCCTTGTTGGTCAGGAGATTCCCATCCACAATCAGACGCTCCAAGCTAGTGAGGTTCTGAAAGGCCATGTCTGATATGACTGCAATTCGGTTTTCGTCCACTCTCAGCTCTTGCAAGTCTACAGGAAGTCCAACAGGCACGCTGCTCAGGTGATTCTTTGATAAAAACAACAGTTTGAGGCTGATGGCCTCTCGGAAAGCTCCGTCCTCCACCCCCACTGTAGATATGGAGTTGTCGTCTAGGTGTAGTTCTTCCAGCTTCAGGAGCTGGGCGAGAGCAGCGCGAGAGATGGTCTGAATGTTGTTTTCCTGCAGATGGAGGACCCTGACGTTCTTGGGCAGGTTCATGGGGAATTCATCCAGTTGGTTGCCATAAAGGTAGACCGTGTGCACTGACTGTACATTGTGCAGCTCTGCAGGAAATCCAGCATTATTAATTTGGTTGTTGTGGAGGTAGAGTACGGTTACGCCCTCCGGGATCCCAAGAGGCACTGAGGTCAAGCTTCGCTCATTACAGTAGACAAAGTTCCTGTCACAACGGCATACACTAGGGCAGGCCAGGAGTTTTGACACTTGTGAGTATAGCCCCAGGGAAATGATAAGCCAAATTTTTAGGAAAAAAGCCCTGTGGCTGGGCCACTTTGTAGTCTGCAGGCCCATTGCTGAAGGACAGAAATAAAATGCAATGTGATGGAGGGGAGGGTGAAAATTAAAACAAAAGCAACAGCAAACAATAGCAAAAACAAAAAGCAAAAGCAAAATGACCAGACCAGGTTCTGTCAAAGTGCAGAACTTCTGTTGGAAGAAATGACCTGAAGGCAGATGGTAAAACAATCTTTCCGATGTCTTTAGTCTGTTCTGCCTATGTTGCCCTCATGTAGTGGTCCTCCATGTGTAAAACAATTCAACAGGGAGAATTTTCCACACAAGCAAAGAGTAATGCCAAGTGATAAGTACTGCCAACAGAAGTCCAGCCAGGAAGGACAATCTTGCTTCTTCTATAGTATGTCAGGCCAGCATAGAAGAACCTAGGGATTCCTTGGTTAAGCAGAGTCTTCAATCTGTTGTAGAAAAGAAGACATGAGTCAGTTAAGTGTAATAATGGTATAAGTATTACTACAACTAACTTCTGGAGCAAAACTGTGACTTGGACTAAATACTGGGAGTCAGGTTGGTGGCATTTTAAATAATAATAGTTAAGTTTGAAAGATTTTTGAGAAATAAATGATTGCAGTATGAAATCTTTAAAAGGAGATGACACTACCACAGTTTATTATCAAAAATCCTAGGCAAATTTTAAACCTCAATCAATACATTATTTCTTAAATATATATTAGCATGCTCTCATAGGCAAGTGCAACTGATATCTTGTTGAATTATTGGTGTCTTGTTAGTGAAGATTCGTTGAAAGCACTATTATTTCAAGATGGAAGATAGAGAAGTTTAAGAGAAACGACACGCAGCTCTATGGAATTTTCAACTGTAAAAATGTAAAATGGAAACTAAACCATTTGAAACGCATCCCTATTAAGAAATTCTCCCCAAAATGTGTTGCATTCCTAAACATAGTTACCATGCAATATTTTAGATATTGTAAGCAAGTTGAAAAATTTTAAGTTTCCACCTCTTGCAAAATATACATTTAAATTCTGGTACAAAATCTTGTTTGTGCTTAATGGGGAATGCTAGAGAATGAACTATAAAGAAAGGGGGAAATGAAATAAGAGAATAAGGGCATCCTGAGACAAGTATTTACTTACCTTCCCCCCTTTTTTGCTGTGAAAACACAAACACACACACACACACACACACACACACACACACACACCAAAAGTGGAACAATCATCTACGTTTGTGCTACTTGAGAGTACATTATGACTATGAAGACCAGTATCATTAAATACACCATATATTTTTCTTCTGACACCAAGATGAAACAAAACAACTATGAAGGCAATGATTTCTCTTTTATATTCCTCTTCCCTTTTTCTTCCTGTGGAATAACTTAAACTCATTACCAAAGAGACTGACAAATAACAATATAAGACATGTATCCACCTATTCCCTCCATTGGACTGTCTAGGTATAACTCAATTACATCATTGTGATTATCCTAAGAGTTGTCAACCTCAAATTGGGAAAAAATTTATTTCAACAGGACCATCTTCCAATGAGAGCACTTTCTTGCCTTTACAGGATGACTTTTTAGCAAATTTTGAAAAGACAGAAGCTACAATTAAGATAGTCAAGGCAATTCAAGGATAGCACTCATGCCTTCTTTTTCCACACTGTGTTCCATCTGCCTTTAGATGGAGAGGGAGAGAAGTTAATTGAAAGGTGCCAGATTTGATTTCCCTACAAAATAAGTTAACATGACAGGACAGGGCTGGCTGCAAGTCCCGCAATTCACACCAATGGAGAGATTGGAACAACTTGTATCCACAGCACAGAGGATGTGTTTGAAACTGCTCCTTTAGCTATCTTTAGGCTTACAATTTGAAAATAAAAAAGGAGTACTGTAAATGTTTTCTAAGTAGTACAGATAGTATACATTTGTTCTGCAATTAAAGGATAAAAAATCAAAAAAGCTTTGTAACACCATATATAAGTGTGTGTGTGTGTATGTGTGTGTGTATGCGTGTGTGTGTGTGTGTGTGTGTTTGTGCCATACTTAGCTAAACTTACAAACACATGAGTTGTTGGTAGGAACACAAAATTTCAAGATATGGATGTACATTTGAGCAAAAGTCTTAGGAGAAAACTGCAAATTGTCTTGAATTTTCCATATAATCAGCTTTTACAACCTAAGTTAATTCACAGTTTCAATCTAAAGTCATGTATTTTTCCATGTTCCTGACGCAGAAAAAAATGCATATATATCATTTGCTGAAATCAACAAATACAGACATTGGAAGCAATCTTCTAAAATGAATAACTATCACAAATGTTGAATACAACATTTACAGATATTGGTTGATAAATAGAGGTATTTGTTGTACTGTTTGTTGCCTGGGTCATTTGAGATCAGTTGAACCCAGTGACATAATTTCTTGTAAAACTCTGTTAAAGTTGTTATATAAAGTATCTTGTTCCTTCCACGAAATACTTGTTGTACTGTTCAATAAAGACAGAGCAAAGCCCTTTCCTCGGGACAGACACAAATAACCACATAGTCACACAGCAAATAGACATGTAAGGACAGACTCAGATACAGACCCAGAGACAAATTCACAAGACAGCCTTCAGGCAGGCACAGATTCAGATTCATATAACAGGCTGGACAGACAGACAGAAAGATGGACCAACGGACGTGATAGATAGACAGACAGAAGACATAGACAGGGAGCATGAAGTAAAACGTTCAAATCGGGACTGATTCATGGTTGAATATCTCTAAGGGGAAGTACTTTTATTTCCTTCCTTAATGCAACATCTATGCATTATTGGTAACTCACAGTTAATTGCTAATGTGCTTAGTTCATTCATAAGCTGGCATGTGAATTTTGGCCTAGGGCATTTAGATGTTTAGTGAGAGGAAAGATTATGCAAGCACGTAATTAGCAAACTATATCAAAAGTTGTGACGTTATAAATCACAGAGATCTGGCCCTATGTAATGGTCTTTAAAACTAAATCCAGGCATATAAAAAAGGAACAAAAACATTCTAGAGATAAGATGGATCTGAAACACAGAAGTGTCAAAGCAAGAGTCCATCTAGAAGTTTGTGCTATGAACACAGACTGCCTGCAACTTAAATCAAGAAATAAACCCCAGCCCAAGCCAGAGGACTAAAGTATCTACTGCAGAACACTTTCTGCAAATATTTATTGTCCTTTTAGAATACAATAAAACATTTAAAAATCATTATATACTCCATTTACAAGTCGGTAATAGAAACAATTTTTTTAAGATGAATGCAAAATATAGAGAACAAACTTTTTATTTTTCCATACTCATATGAATACTATCATCCCAGGAAACCAGATTAGGAAGAATGGCTATACAGAACTTTTTGGGCAAAAAAAGAAAGTTGCACCAAAAGCTAGATTGTAAAAAAAAAAAAAAAAAAAAAACGCTGTTCAGAGACAATGAGAACATGTTCCATACAATCTTTTGAAGGTGATAGTGACAATAGCAGTTATTATAGGCTACTGTAAGTTAATTTAACTCCTTTCACAGGAACTAAGACTCAAAACATAAAAATCATGCAAAAGCTGTCTGCACATTTCTACCATAGTTCAGCCTAAGAAGTGAGTCTTTTTAATTAATTCCAGAAGACTGAATAGCAGAGAATGCTTAATAAACCCAGACAATAAAAATCACAGAACAGAAAATAAGACTCATCAATAAGCACTGCCAATCATATCACATAATTATACCAGGATAAACCTAATAAAATCTTCATGGTTCCAGAGCTAGCCTCACTCTCTGTGAAAGGACTGTGAAAGGCCAACACTTGAGTATCATGAGATACCTACAAGAAAGTAGGTCTGATCTTGAAATTTTCAGAAAAATGCATGGAACTAGGAAAAAATCATCCTGAAACAGAAAGACAAACATGGTGTGTACTCACTCATAAGTGGATATTAGATGTAAGGCAAAGCATAACCAGGCTACAGTCCATAACACCAGAGACTCTAGGTAAAAAGGAGGACCCAAAGAGGGACACATATGGATGGTCCCAGGAAAGGGAAATAGTTAAGATCTCCTGGGTAAACTGGGAAAGGTAGTAGTAGGGAGGGGATAGGGCATGGAAATATGAGGGCTGGAGATGGTTGAGTTGGGGGAGGGACAAAGAGGGGAGAGGGGGAGCAATGAAAGAGATATTTTGACAGTGGAAACTATTATAGACTTTGGGAGAAACCATGTACTAGGAAAAATCCCAGAAATCCCAAAGAATGACCCCACCTAAGATTCCTTGCAATAGCGGAGAGGGTGCCCGAACTGGCTTTTGCCTATAATGAGAATAGTTACTATCTTAATTGTCATCATAGGACCTGCTGGAAGCAGATGCAGTGACCTACAGACATGCACTGGGCTGAGCTCCTGGAGAGAGAGAGGAAGGATCATTTGAGCAAGGGGAGTCAAGATCATGATTGGAAAAATAACAGAGAGCTGATCCTGAGTTCGCTGACTCTGGACTGACAGCTGGGAACCCTTCATGGGACCGAACTCAGCCCTGCGGATGTGGGTGACAGTTATGTGGTTTGATCTATTGGGGGGCTGGCAGTGGAACCAGGACTTATCCTGGGTGCATGAACTGGCTTTTTGTAACCCGCTCTATATAGTGGAATACCTTGCTCAGCCTTGATACAGGGGGGAGGGGCTTGGTCTTACCTCAAGTTGGTGTACCACACTTTGTTGACTTCCCAAGTGAGGCCTGACTTCCCTTGAAGGAGGGGATGGACAGTAGGATGGGGGGAAGAGGTGGTATAGGAAAAGGGGAGGGAGGGGAACTGGGGCTAGTACTTAAGATTAAAAAAAAACATTTTTTTTCAAGACAGGGTTTCTCTGAATTGTTTTGGAGGATGAAAAACCATTTAAATAAAAAGAAAAGCTAGTAGGTCTGGGGATGCAGCTTAGTTGGGAGTGATACACATATGCACCAAGTCTTGGGTTCCATATCTATCACCAGGTAAACTGGCGTGCTGATGCATACCTATGATTCTAATAACCAGATCAGTGGTTCAAAATCTTCTTTGCACACACAGTGAGTTCAAGGCCAACTGAGAGAGAGAAAGAGAGAGAGAGAGAGAGAGAGAGAGAGAGAGAGAGAGAGAGAGAGAGAGAGAGAGAGAGAGAGAGAGCGCACTGAATAGGGAAAATCTTTCCAGGATTGTGTTCCACATTTTTTGGAGTGTAGCAATTTGAGCTTTAACTCAGAACCTTAAAGCTGTAGTGTCCACACAGTCATCTGGCCTGTGAATGACTTCCTTGCAAGCTGGACTCACCAAAGCAATTTAGAGATCTGGTACACAGCTCTTCATTCCTAAGCACAAGTTAAAGTACAGTGACATATCAATGGAAATTACTTGTTAGATGATCAAGCTGTGGAATTAGA